TTATACTAATTATTTAATTGTAATCAATCCATGTTAATAATAATCATTAATAAATTACCAGTTATCATTAAATTTGATTATAACCAATTTATTTTAAAAATAATATTTTATTGTAATATAATAGATATTATATTAATAATAATCATTTAGTTCAATTATAATCCATTTATAATTAACATAAGGTAAGAAAAAGTTAAATTCAAATTAAATCTTATTTTAAAAATAAATAAACAAAATAAAGGTTAAGTAAAACATATTAAGAAGAATTAGTAAATATCCTGCAAGATTACTTTTCAATACTTGTCTTGACGTTTCGGATTGTAAATAATTTTTAAATATGACTTTGAAGGGTATTTGACTTTTTATTGTTTTACATTCTTCATTTTATAATAAAAACGGGTGATGCATTGAGTTAAAAATCATATTCATCTTTAAACTGTTGGTTCAATTTTTCATTTGATAGTTAATTAAAAAAATATATTATTATCCTGGATTAACATTATTAATTAAAATATATTAGCATTCATGTATATTCAAGAATTCAATGTTCATATTGTTATATTATGTTAAAAAGAAAAGAAAAAGAAGGAGGATTTTTTGTTTGACTTTTGTAGAAGAAAATATAACTAAAACATTTAAACAGAAAAAAAAAAAAAGAAAATATCATCACTGCTTAGTAGAATGTATAGAATTATAATTAAAAATGAAGTTTATGTTGTATCCTACTTTTAATTTTAAAGATATTAAAATCAGAAATAAAATCCTGTAATTAAATTGGATTATTTCTTAGAATGATATTAAATGATCAGTTAAGAAAAGAAATAAAATAAAAATATTATTAATATGCTGAATCCATTGAAAACATGAGTAATTTTTACAATATACTAAGATAATAATATATTAAGTACTTTAGCTAAATTAATTTTTGTTAAATTGAGTGAAGAAAGAAAAATAAGGATGCTACTAATTACTAATTCGTTACAATTATTAATTAAAAATAATACTAATAATAATAAAACAAAGTTAGATTAAATTATTTATTGTTACTTATTATTAAATGAGGAATACTGTTTTAGATATAGAAATAGCTATTGCCAAATTGTTCCTGTTAAGATATTTTAATATTAATATTATTTTATGAAATAAGCAATAAGTAATTAAGAATGACAAATAACCATATATCATAATCTCATTGTACATCCATTGGTGGTGAAAACTGTAATATTTTTTATTGTCATTACAAATTAAGTTTCTATTACAAAAAGTGAAATGATTATGAATCGAAAATTACTTTTTTGATTAAATTACATTATAAACTTAGAAATGAAGCTAAGTTAACATGTACTAGTGTATTAAGTTGTATACATATTCTAAATATTATAATATAAGTTAATATTAATTAATTATTATTTATTGTTTTAAAACAATAGTTGATGCATTATATTACTATTAGATAACATAAATCAGCTATACTATAGATTGCATAGATATGTTAAATTTATTGCATTTATTTATCATTTTTCATTTGTTGTAAGTTTATTTGTTGTTTGGTATAATGATCGTGTTCATCTATTATTCTAGTATCATCGATAAAACAAAGAAAAGTTTATGTTATTAAAATTAATAATCAAATGAAATATTAGAAGTTATCTTATAAATAATGTAATAATCATAAAATATGGGCTAGAAATTTATAGATATAAGTAAGTAGTCAACATTATTATAATTTTACTTCTTAAACATTTTGTTTTATAAAAATTGATTGTTTGTAAATTATGTAAAGACAAGTCCACACAGAACAAAATGTAACAAAAATTAAGTGTAAACATATCCCACAGATTGATGAAAGAGCTCCTTAGCAGTAATTCCAATATTAGAAAATTTATTAAGCTCGGAAACCGAGCTCAATGGGGATGGAGAAGTTACTTAGCTATAGTTATTATTACTATTTTTTCTTTATTCATTATTACTAACATTGTTAATTTCTTTAACTCAAAGAGGCGTCCGGCATTTGGCAACAGTTATCTCTTCCAAAGTCAAGCGATAGACCTAGAATTGACTTGCTTTAACCATCGATAGATTTATGCTGTCATTCTTCAGGAGACGCTAAGAATCCTCCTACACTTTATAGTTACAAGATGATTTCCCATAGTGTCCGAGAAAAGATAGCTGCTTTTGTATCTTGAGCTGAAAACTAGCATCATACCCGGAAAGACCCTCATTCGTCACAAAAGTTTACAGTTAACACATGCTTGGTTCATTATTACTTTTAACAAAAAAACAACTTTCCCACGGGAATAGTTAAATAATAGCCATCCTCTCCTTAAACATTTCCTATGTATCCAGGTCCAAAATATCCTACAGGCAATTTCAAGTTTAGAAGTCAGACATGTAACATTAGTTTAGGCCTCACAAGGCAACTTTTTAAAAAGTATCAGTAACTTAATGCCAATGTAACTTTATATTTTACAGTAAAAGTGAATTTGAAAGCCTTCGAGTTCGTTAATTCGTAAGTTAACGAATCGGAGGCAGTGAAGACTTTATAAGTAATGTTTTTATTCATAATTTCTGTTACAAATGGCATCTTAAAATGCAGAATAATACTATGGATGTATGGTTTTACTACAAGAGTTCACTCCAGGTATCCTGGCAAGAGTGCGAATTCAAGAATGTAACTGCATGTGCATGTGATTAGTCCAGAGGATCATGGGGTTTACATACACAGGAGGTATATAATAGCAAGGGGGTGAAGGGAAGTCGGAAAAGGATCGAAAAGGATGTTATCTATAATTAATATTCTTAAGATGAGCTCTGTGAGAAAGAGCCCTTTTGCTGAAAGCTGTTATTGTTCCATAAGCCTTGATAATGGTCTTCTGTCCAGTCGTTACATTCTAGATAACTATTTCTAAGCTATCAGAGATAGCTTGACCTGGCTATCTAGGGATAGCTTTGTGCTTTTATCCTTTGAGTTATGAAAGGTATCAATGCAATAAATGATTCACCAATTGGTATATTTAACAAACTCAATCATTAAAATAAAAGTTAAATTAATATTATTATTATTTGTTACGGATTAAGTCCATTCCGTAACTGTATACATTCTGACTGTTATTTCCGGAGATTCATTTTCAACCTGGATAAGCATTTTTCTTTTTTTCTCCAGTTTCATGTAATCATATTGTTTAAACTTCATATCAAACCATTTTTTTTAGCTACTGTAAATAAAAGAGAGTATTTTTTTTTAATTATCCAAATTAATGGTACCTTAGAAGAAGACGTATATGAACATTGGTCATTTAAACACTGTAAAGTGACATCAATAGGGATAAGACCTAAATAATATTAAAGACCACTTAAGCAAAATGCAAACATATTACTTTCACCCTGCGACGCAGATCCTGTCCCACAATCCTTTTCAATTCAATACCATTTCCCTACTCAGATACAGTCCGTTACCTTGGCTTCCTTCTAAACAAAAGACTAACTTGGAACCCACATACGAGACTTAAAAGACAAGAACTTAACCAACGATATGGCCAGCTATATAGAATACTAAGCAGGACATCTCATCTTTCGATTGAAAATAAACTTTTAATCTACAAGACAATACTGAAACCTATCTGGACCTACGGACTTGGGGAACTGCTAAACATTCGAGTATCAAACGCATCCAATCCTTCCAGTCCAAAGTACTTAGAACAACAGTCAATGCCCCATATTATGTCACAAATAAGACCCTACACCATGACCTTAACATCCCATTTGTCCTCGACATCATCCCATCCAGATTCTCAAACTTTCACCAGAACCTTATCCGTCATCCAAATCCTCTAGCTCAATCGCTATCCAGCTCCCACCATCCCTACAATCCCCTTCGAAGGTTAAAACGGCAGTGGCCGCGAGATCTTTTGTAAATATGCCTTTGGAGTCCTGGCAATGGCCAGCTTCTCCACTCATGTCCTGAGCCCTCTGTGGCTCTAGTGCCCTCTTTCAGTCTCCATTGGTTTCTAATACTAGTGATGCGGCTGGAAAAGTGGCACTGGGATCTCTGGAGTCCTGCTTTGCCTTCCACATGTGGGGGAAAAGCCTGGCTCGGAGATTACTGGGCGAATGTATATATTGTATATAGGTATGAATGTGTTTAGAAGTTTTTATTTCATTTTATTTTTTTTTCCTATTGATTTACATTTTTTTATAATTCTTATCTATTTACTTTTATATTTATAGTTACTTCTTTATTACTTGTATATACTGTATGAATGAGAACTTCTAGCCTTAATACTTATAGCCCTCCAACAGTGGCTGATTGTATTATTATTCAATAAAATATAATAAAAAAAAAAATATCTGTAGTAAGAGGAGAAGATCACTCAGCCAGCTTCTTTTGAGCCACCTACAAGGGTGTTACTTGAATCAGTGAATTGGTATGTCCGTGTAAGTTACTGTGAAATCTTGCATTTGTAGATTTTAACGTAGATTTAAGTAATCTTCCAGATGTAGCCCTTTTTTTCCAATTTAGATTAAACAAATAAATATGTTTATATATTTGAATCCTTATCCAATATTGCTTCTACAAGAATAGCCAGGCGCTTCAAAAGTTATTGATATAGCATGGTTTAGCAATAAACGAGCATTCCTATTAGTCTAAATATCGTGAATAATTAGATGATAAAAAATATTTAAAAAAAGCAACGAATTTAATAAAAATTAATAATCACTGGTAAATTATTAATATAAGTTTATGAAGGATACCATTTAAGATTAAAATAACAAAAAAGTTTAAAGAAAAAAAAACTTCTACTTTATGTTTCATCACGAAATTTAAAGAGGTTTCCTAAAGCGAAAAATAAAAATAAATTGAAAACCGAAAAAAGAAAAAAAGAAGAGGAAGGAGAGTAAAGGATAAAAGTTTTAAGGACACCTAGGGGGCTAAATTTTAATATCGTCTTTAGGTGGTAGTAATGATAATTGAGGGTTTTAAGACTACAAAAAACAATGTTGAAAAATAAATTACTTTTTTTAATGGATATTGTAGACAGTGATGAGAAGAATAGAATATATATACATACACAACACCCCCAATTAGAATAATCCTCGAGAATCACTACTCTTGAGGTTTTTTTGAGAATCACCCACCTTATGCTACCAAATAGCGGCTTCAACTCCTAAACAGTTCGCTGCAGCGTTGGAATAATCATTTCTTCAAATGTGGATCATATAATAAATCATGCCTTCAATATTGCGTTAGATATTCCGATTGAAACCCAAAATTCCACCTTCACTACAACCCGCATCTGCGACGCCAACCAGGCATACCGACTGCTGGACCATAACTGCTAGTCTGCCAAGAACAATCACCCTCATAGCAACTGCTAGCTACACTTTCACCTATACAACAATCGATACCACCGTCCGCACAACAAGTCCCGCTGAAGTAGACGAAGGTAATACTGCCGCCCAGGGTGCTGATAACATGGAGGCCCAACATGGAGCCAATAGCCCCGAGGAGCCTCGCCTTTGATTGCGATATTGGCTCTTGTAGCTTTTTTCCTATAAGTAAAATAAATTAGAATCGTTTCATATGATGAATAGATATTTAAGGATTATATAAGTATAAGGAATTAAATAATTTTTCTTTAATTCGGTCTTAGGTTACATTATATCGTCGGTTCATTGGAAAAGTTACTAATTACAGTTTTGATAAAACTAAACATTTAACTACATATTTTAGAAATTCGGTCTTATTCATCGATGCAAAAACAAAAAAAGGAGTTCAAGCACAAAATGAACAATATTTTGATTTCACTGAGGGAATTCATCAAATTACTTTCTGATTTTTATTTTCATTTTTACGTGTTTCTTAACAAAACAAACCGACGGTATATGAAGTATATAGACCTTAAGATATTATTATAAAATAATTTTAAATTTAAACTTATGATGTATTACCCGATGGGTTCTTTGTGTTGCTGTCATCTCCAGTCCCCTTTCTCAACAGTTCAGCATTGCACTTATCGATTTCTTTTCCTAAGATTTTATCAATAATAGGAATGATTGGAGTATTTATAGATTATTCATTTTGGTCAACTAATTGATAATACCAGATTCTGATTTAGCCGTGGGTCCATTTGAGTTTATTGCGGAATCCTTTGACTCTTGGTTAGGAGAAACGATCAATCCAGCTTCTGTATAGCCGGAATTCGAAGAAACCAAAATCAATATCAATACATAACTTGAAAACATCTCAGCTCTAGATTAATACAAATAACTTGTGAAAGTATTATGTTTTATCATTTTTAATCCATTTTATATATATATATCATTTTTAATGAAAACTTACACTTGAGTACGAAAATTCCAGTTCAAAACAGTAAGATGACTGATGTGGATTTCTAAAAAACTAAACTTCAGCAAGATAATACACTATGTTTATTATCATATTGACAAAAGGTCATAAAATACTTACAGTTCATAATTTAATGATGCATAAGTTTTCATTTCATTATCGATTTCATGTTTATCGATAGCTATAAATTTTAATGTCTTTAAATGATACTTTAATTTCCTTCAATGATATAATTGCCTATTGTTATAAATTCGGTCCGGGTATAAATGTAAAAAAAAATTAAATATAACATATAATGTGCCTCAAAGCGTACAATAATATACAGTTTAATATGTAACCAAATAAGTAATAAAAATATATTTTAATTTAAGAAAACCCAACACAGAAATTGGGAAATTCTTTCAACCTTAAGAGAATATATTTCCATATCTACATAAAGATCTTAATGGAAATTGACATTAAAGAATATTTAAAATTAGCGTTCGACAATGACGCTGCTAGTTGAAGCCTTTATATATAAAACTTGATATTGTGGACGGGTGCCTTCCATATCCCGAAAAAACTTTCAGAATATTTTTTTTCTTTTAACCTTTTTAGTTTTTTAGGTATTGCCAATTTAAGAACATATGATTAATATCTTACACATAATATGACGACAGCCACACTGCAAAAGCTTGTAGGGACAATTTATTTGGAAAATGAAGTTTTGATCTTTTCTGGTCAATCATGTCCTGGCCCATAATCTGATCCCCCAAATTAAAATCTATGGTGTTTCATTTCTTCTCTATAATCTTTTGTTAAATTCTATTACTTAAAAACCAGCAATTGTGATGTAATACTACACTATTAGCACCGAAACAGCCCATCCGCACTCCCCCCCCCCCCGACATACACACACACTCACATTTTTTGGGACTTAGTTCTTTGTACTGAGGATACCTAAAAATATGTATTTCCGTTGAATACTCAGTTTAGAAAATTTTCCCGATCGTAATATTCCCTATATTGATATTGATACGACCAATTTTTCCTTCATTGATATTTGAAACTTTTTTTTTTTTATTTTATTTTATTGAGATTTACAACTGTATTACATGGAAAATAAGTAAATAAGTAAATGTGACATTGGTAACATGACATTTACAACATGAAGAGAAACTACCCATTGGTAGAACTCAAATTAAAGTTCTATATTAGAAGATCCCGTGGCCATCTTCTTTTCAGACGCCTCAGAGGATTATCAGGGATCGAGGAGGAAGCAAGGTTTGAAACAAGAAGATTCGGATGGTTTTGCAGTTTGTTATGGAAGGATAGATATCTGGATTGGGCCAAATCGGAAACATATGGAACATTAAGGTCTTTATGTATGATTTTATTTGTGACAAAGTAAGGAGTGTTGAGGATTCTACGAAGGATTTTGGATTGTAAGGATTGGATACGAGAGGAATTCGATGGTTTAGTGGAACCCCAAAGCTCAATTCCGTAAGTCCAAATAGGTCTTATTATTGTCATATATATAAGTCGGCAGGTTGCTTAAAACTTACCAAGCATTCGTGAATCAAACCATGTCCATATGAAATTGATTAAGTTAAAAAAGAAACTTTTATAGACTAATCCATAATGGGGTGCATGTACGCCGTTCGCTCCTACAGTGGGCGACAAAAAGATTTGAGCAATTTTGTCGTTTTGTTCCTTGAGATTCGGAAGTATTCCACATTGTCTTCGCTAGGATTATTTAGAGTTTTCAGCGGCTTTTCTTTTTTCGCACATGTTTAAGCAATCTTCATCAAACCACGGTTTGATGTTTTTATTTTCCGTTTTTCCTAGACACGAGTTACCGATCGCTTTAATATTATCCTTAATCGCTACCCATAGCTTGTCAATATCCTCACGGTCCTCGTCAGAAGGTTCTAAAGCTTCAAACCTATTCGTAACATCTAGCTCGAATTGAGTTCTAATTGATGGATTTTTAAAAATTTTCCAAATTAAAATTCTCGAAATCGAAACGGTTTTCTTTTCTCTTTTTTATATTAATTTTTTGTCGAAGTTTCGCGATTACTAACGCCAAGTGTATTGAATTTTATACAGTGATTTTAATAATTATTCACTTGCCCGTTTACGTTGTTTTAGTTCATCGAAGAAATCGTACTCTGTTTCTCTGATCGGTTATCAAAGAATGAGTTAATAATATTATATGTTTTAATCTCCATTCTTATAGAAAACAATTAATGATATAATTAACGTTCTCGCAGATTATATATTTTTGGCGTTGCTATCTTTGATAGTGACGTGAGACCACTATTAACTTCCTCTGCTTGTTAAGCTTGCGCCCTTTAATACTGTTGGGGTCCATACTTATCCCTTGGACCAAACCTCAGCAGTTACTCTCTCGAGTGAGGGCAGCGTCGCGCTGACAAGCGGACCTCCTTTCTTCCTTCATTCGTGATGGCGAACCAGAATGAGAACCTTCCTATGGAGATTCCAGAGCCTGAGGCCTCCGAAGATAAAAGTGGGAAGAGGATTCACGAAACTGACAGCGAAGGCCTTGGATCGGATATTGAAGGCTACGCCCCAGTAGCCAAACGACACACGTTTCCCGCCCGTACCGTCCCGGAAAAGCCTTCCCAGATCCCAATTGCCAACAAGTTTTCCGTGTTGAGAGTGAATCTACCGGAGAAAAACAGACCGCCGCCAATCATCATAGCACCTCCGATAGCCCAGGCAGCGCTGAAAAATATACTGATCGAGAATAATATAACATTATTCTCTATCAATTCATCATCAAAAGAAACTCGGCTGTATGTCAACTCCGAGAATGACCACTTTCAAGCCACTTTACTGTTGCGCCAGGACAATAGGGTACAATTCCACAGTTTTGCTCCCAGAGGCACTAAGCGATCTCGAAAATATGTGCTTCACGGATTCGATATTGATTTCCCCGTCGAGGAGATAGTCGAGGAGTTAAAAACCAGATTACCAGGATTCAGACTCGCCCGAAGACTCACAAAGAGATACAACCCGAATGAACCACCAAAACCTATCGAGCTGATCCAGATAATTACAGACGACTCGGTCAAGCTGACAGACATTGCTAAACTTTATCATATATCGCAGTGTAAATTTCGTGTGAGCATCTTTAAAGAAGATGGGGTCCCAGCACAGTGCCGAAATTGTCAAGAATACGGACACACTATGAAATATTGTGGCCGAACATGTGCGTGCCCCTGGTGTGGAGGTGTCCATACCCTTGAACAGTGCCCGAAGACAGTAACTCCCTGGTGTAAAAACTGTAAAGGTGCCCACCCCACCTCCTCCAAAGAATGCTTGAAGAGACAGGAGTTGGTGAAGAAAATTAGGGAAATCACCAAAGGAACACCGACGAAAACGAATACCAGCAAACAGAGTAAGTGGGTCCAGGAGGGCCTGGCATACAGCACAGCAAGCGGAGGAGCGCCGGTCCAATCAGAAGGAACCTCTCCCCACCACCAGTCTCATCCCCACCACCAGCACGCCACCCAGTTCAAGGAACAGACTGCACCAACGCAATCGCCTCAGCCTTCAACAAGTACCGATGCCTCCCTGACGTCTCTAGTGATGACGATGCTGACAAGAATGGACAAGCTGATGGATATAGTTGCCCGCATGCTAGATGCTATGACGAAGAAGCATCATGATTAATCATCTCGTCATGAATTTCAACACCAGAGGCCTCTTCCAGAAGCAGGCTGAAATCGAGCTCCTTCTTCAGCAGCATAGACCTTCAGTGGTGGCGTTGACAGACACCATGCTTCACACCTCGACTCGTCCATACTTCCAGGGGTACACTATATACCGAGAGGTGTGTGCACCAGGGTCTCGAGAGGGAGTAGCCATCCTGGTCAGAAAAGATGTACCTTCGAGATCCGTCCCGAACCCAGTGGAACCAACCGAGGGAACTCACTTACTCACAGTTGACGTGCGACTTAAGAGTCGGTTCACATTCACTTGTGTCTATAGGAGACCCAGGGCTGGACTGACATCTGTTAAGCTGCTGCTACAACATGCCCAGGTGACGGGTCGGCATGTAGTCCTTGGGGACTTCAATGCTCGACACACTTCCTGGCTGTGTGGTAGCGACAATCCACTGGGGAAGTACATTACCAAGACTAGGTTGGCCGTCTTTCACCCAGGTGTACACACTTTCCGGCATTCAGCCCGACCTGATTGGACATCAACGCTGGACCTGCTATTAACCAGGGATCTGCACATCATTACGGATTGCCAAGCGCTTCCGTATGGACCGTCGGATCACCGGCCTGTGCTCTACACGATCGAGGGCACACCCGCCAAACCACCGGCGAGTAAATACTTACTCCACAAGGCCGACTGGAAAGGATACAGGTCTAGCGTTGAATCCACTTTACCGGCGGTAACGCCGTGCCAGACAGTAGAAGAGGTAAACGAGGCGGTGGATGTCATCACCACCACTATCCAGGATTCAGCCAACCTGAACATCCCTAGGTTCGCTCCGCAGCCCAACGCCATCAGGAGACCACCACGTCACATCCTCGCCCTGATCAGTCAGAGGAACAACCTGAGGAACATCTTTCAGCGCACGCGTGACTACAGCTTGAAACCGGCCATCAATGCGATGACCCGGCAGATAGCCAGCCTCATGCGAGACTGGAAGACCTCACTCTGGCATGACCAGCTCCGGAGGACTCATAATGACCACCGCCAGTTCTGGAGACTGGTCCGAACGTTCGTTAACAAGAAGAGGACTGTCCACCTGACGTCGGGGAATGAGCTGCTGACACCTAAGGAACAGGCTGAACTCCTGGCCAAAAGCTATGAAGCGAGGGATGCTGAGCGGACGAGAAATGCACCACCAATGCCGGAAGGACCACTGCCCAGTCCCAACGAAGAACCCGTCTTCTCTACCTTCAACCAGCTGGAGTCGACGCTACGACGCACCAAAGGAAACAAAGCGTCTGGACTGGATGAGATTCCGTACGTACTGTTGAAGATGCTCCCTAGGAAGGGTAAAGCCTTTCTACTGAACATATTCAACTCATGTCTTCGAATCTCATACTTTCCTACCGCAT